GCACGCAGGCACTGCACACTGCACGCAGGCACTGCACACTGCACGCAGGCACTGCACACTGCACACAGGCACTGCACACTGCACGCAGGCACTGCACACTGCACGCAGGCACTGCACACTGCACGCAGGCACTGCACACTGCACGCAGGCACCCACCTGAGTCCGAGGGGTGCAGCAACAGGGCCGCGCCAGGGCCGCCGATGGGCAGAGAGGCCGCCACCAGCACATGGCGGTTGAACTGCTCATGGCACCGCCATATGATCCTTATGCAACACAATGCCGTTCATCGATAAGTCCAGCACATGTAATTCTGTGTCCAATAAACTCTAGTTAAGCAAATCAATTCATTTGAACGCTCACTAATAACCGGTTAGTGTTCACTGGAACTTGCTAGCACTTCATTCAACTGCAACACGATTGCACCACCAGCCTTAATCTTACCTCTAGGGTTAGTTTAGCACTTGTCCGATAGTTATCTTGAATATCTATTATCAAGGGATATTACTTCACCAGTTGTGATAATTACACATTATATTCCAGTTTATTTAACGTCACTAGCGCTCTTAGGACACCTCGTATACTCTTCCTGCGAAAGCTTCTTCAAAACTGGTAAGACGAGTCTCAGGCTCCCAGCTCGGGGCAACGTGGGGGGTGAGGGACGGAGCGGGCAAGAGGGGTAGAGGGGAGAAGGGCAAGTCTGTGAAGAACTGGAAAGGGAGGAGAGGTGTGGAGGGGGAGGGGAGGATGATGGAGTGGGTACACGGGACTGAATGGGATAGGGGGGTAGAGAAGTAAGTACATGTGTCCTGGATAGCTAGTGGAAGAGGAAAGCAAGTTGAAAATGGGAGAAGGGCTTGATGAACACCAATAAAGAAGAGGCACAACACAAGGAGGAGAAAGGGGGAGGGATGGAGATATTGGAAGGACATGTACGTGAAACAAGTCAAGAGGAGGACGAGGGAACACTGCGAAGAGAGGGGTGGAGGAGGTGGGGGAAAGGGTTCATGGCACCTTCCCCTCCCCTCGCCAAGATGACGTCGCTTATGCTGTGCCTGCGTTACCTAGTTCCCTGGTGCGCAGCACGGCAGCTCGACTGTACATCGTCTGGGCACGTTGCGTGTCGCTACGTGTGCCATGAACTAACCGGACAAAACCAATCGTTGCCTATCAGGACCAACTAGTGTAGTAGAGGCAATGCTATTTTTGATTTGTTGTTATGCTATTCCCACAGGAGCAGGTATTGATAAAGCAATGAAATTCCTACCATTGTTGTGATGCAATTCTTTTTTGAGCTATCGTACGGCTATTCCGACTTTTGCGCTGAACAGAGGTTAGCGCTTCTACATGTTGAGCTGCGTTAATCGGTTAATGCAATTCCCGCTAGATTTATTGTATTGCTATTGCTACCTGAACAGTGCAGTGCAGTCCGCCACCACAATAAAATTGTGCGCATGTTGCCGGACTCGCACAAGGCAGATGAACGCATAGCCCAGGAGCGAGCGGTAGGGGTCATAAGAGAACAACACGGATTTTTTTCAGATACGCTTAGTCCAAGGTGCCTGAAGGATACTGGTGTCCTTGTGGGAGATGGTCGGGGCATGTGTGATTAGCTGGAAGCGCAGTTTGAATCAGTGCTTACCAATCCCCGCTACTCAAGACAGAAGTATAAAAGTCCAGGAAGAAGCTTCAAGGATGGAGAAGGTAGGATAACATCAAGTTTAGAAGATGACATGCATAGAAATATTAAAGAGCTTTGGACTTTTTCAGCATCAGGACGCAATTGAGTTCCAGCATTGCTGGTCATGAGCGCTGAAGACCTACGTTGTGCTAAGGAAGGTATCGTTGATAAATGGAACTATTCCTAATGGCCTCTAAGTGAGACAAATAACACCACTTCATAAAGGAGGTGTGCGGGACAGACCCCAATATTGCAGACCACCGACCTTGACCTCACAGGTGACCAACGTGTTTAAGTAGGTGGTGGCCAGGAGTCTTGTCAAGTAAATTGAACAGGCTGAACTGTAGTATAATTATTTTTTTTTGCGAAAATGATCCTGCTTGTCACAGTTATTGGAGCACTACCACCGTCTTGCGGCACTGCCAGAGGTGGGTGCTGGCGTAGACGAGTTATACTTGGACTTTGCGACATCTTATGACAAAGTTGACCATGGGGTTAACTTCAGAAGACTAAGGCTGCTGGGGTAGGTGGAAACTTGTTTGCTTGTATTCACAATATCCCAACTGGCAGGCAACATGCTAGTCTTCCTGCTAGTTTTTCCAAATAAAATCTTTCTTTCTGACAGGATGCAAAGCGTTGCAATTACAAGCTAAAAATCGCGCGAGGCGCGGGTGAAAAGCGGGGTGCCATAGCTGGGTGATTGTCTCGATCTTCTTTCTCATCCACATTGCCAACATTGACTCAGAAGATAGATGTACATCTCTATCGTAATTTGCAGACAATACAAGAGTGCAGATGGGGATCACTGACAACCGGGCTTGGGAGAGGTTACAGGACGACTTGTCCACAATCTACTACTGGGCCCTAGTAAATAAAATGTTGTTCAACAACACCAAATTTAAAGAAATGAGGTACAGAGTTTGTGTAGAAGTCAATGGTCTCAATGTATCCTCATAATGAGATAAGAGAATCTACAAAGATCATTTGATTCAGGTGCCCTATCTACCAGACGCAAAAAGATTGCTCACTTACAAGACCCGGATAGCTCAAGACCCGGAGAGCGATAGCTCAGCGACGCTCATCCCTGGGTAGAGCTTATAAGGCTTTAGCTTAGGGTTAGGGGAGGAGAGACAGTCGAGTTAGGACGGTCTGCGTTAACAGCCACTGCGGCGCCGCACCTAGTGTCGCTACGTGTTCCTATTGTATCCGCACCTGGGCTGAAATCCAGTTTTCTGTTCGACATTTCTGATAGAGTTCACAGTATCGTCCTTACTCTTGTCTGTAGTACTTCAGAAGTTTAACTCAAAACTTAGGAACCAAGAATGAGAAGCGTTACCGAGAACTTAAAGAAGAAAAATTACAAAGTTATTAGATCATACATTGATTAGAAAAGTTTTTCCAGAACCCTGGCTGATTCCAGCTGCCTGTCGGGATGAAGCACCGCTACTTGTCATCGGAACCGCAAAGTGATTTAGCAGCAACAAGTTAGCGACCTCTGAGATCGGATAAACGTAAATAACGTTTTGTGTCACACAGCGGCAATAGTTGTGAGAGGCAGGATACGAATTGGGCGGGCTCTGACAGATATTTCGAACAAAAGTGCGTGGGCGCAGTGCGCAATTTGCGGCAGTCCAGTGGACCTTCACGTACAGGATCTGCGGATTGAAGGAGCTGGACTACAGGGATAGACCAGAGACTGTACTCACTGGAAAGGAGAAGAAAGAGGTACGTATGTCTTTGTGAACAAGATCTTCAGGACTGTGACATATTTCATTGAGGTAAAGGCTTTTTAACACTTAGTTGATTGAGCTGAGAGAGTGAGGGTGCGCGGCACCATAGTTTGGCCGTGGACAGGGACCAATTTAGTGCAGTACTTATAGTGTATGTTGAGGGTACTGGGCATGGAATGCAAAGTGAGTGATACGAGCAGTGCATACAACGTTTGCAATTCGCGCAGTGCATACAACGTGTGAAATTCGCGCAGTGCATGCAACGTGCGGGATTCATGCAGGACGTGCAGTGTGCGCTAGGTGCGTGATGCATGCAGTGCATGCAGGGCGTGCAGTGGGCGCTAGGTGCGTGATGCACGCAGTGCATGCAGGGCGTGCAGTGGGCGCTAGGTGCATGATGCACGCAGTGCATGCAGGGCGTGCAGTGGGCGCTAGGTGCGTGATGCACGCAGTGCATGCAGGGCGTGCAGTGGGCGCTAGGTGCGTGATGCACGCATGTGTATGCAGGGCGTGCAGTGGGCGCTAGGTGCGTGATGCACGCAGTGCATGCAGGGCGTGCAGTGGGCGCTCGGTGCGTGATGCACGCAGTGCATGCAGGGCGTGCAGTGGGCGCTCGGTGCGTGATGCATGCAGCGCCTAGCAAGCAGGGGGCAGACGAGAGCTGCCTGCTGATGGGGCGCTCCCTGGACCGCTGGAATGCGATTCAGACGCGCGGGGAGCGGGGGGAGGAGGGGGGACGAGATTTGTGAATGGGGAGGCTGTGGTGAAGGGGGTTCGTTAGGGGTTTACTGCCTTCCCCTATACGTATGTGATACCCCTGCGTACACGGTGGAGTGTTAAGGCATGGAAGCGCGCACAAGGGAGAGTGCATATACGGGGAAGTGCGTATACGGGGAAGTGCATGTATACGGGGAAGTGCATGTATACGGGGAAGTGCATGTACACGGGGAAGTGCATGTACACGGGAAAGTGCGTATACGGGGAAGTGCGTGTACACGGGGAAGTGCGTGCATAAGGAGAAGTGCGCGCACACGGGGAAGCGCGCACACGGGAAGCGCGCACACGGGAAGCGGGCACACGGGATGCGGGCACACGGGATGCGGGCACACGGGAAGCGCACACACAGAAAGTGCGCATACGGGAAGCGCGTGCACGGGGAAGCGCGCACACGGGGAAGCGCGTGCACGGGGAAGCGCGCACACGGGAAGCGCGCACACGGGAAGTGCGCACACGGGAAGCGCGCACACGGGAAGCGCGCACACGGGAAGCGCGCACACGGGAAGTAAGTACACGGGATGCGCGTACACGGGAAGTAAGCACACGGAAAGCGCGCACACAGGATGCGCGCACACGGGATGCGCGCACACGGGATGCGCGCACACGGGATGCGCGCACACGGGAAGTGCGCACACGGGAAGTGCGCACACGGGAAGTGCGCACACGGGAAGTGCGCACACGGGAAGACGGGAAGCGCGCACACGGGAAGCGCGCACACGGGAAGCGCGCACACGGGAAGCGCGCACACGGGAAGCGCGCACACGGGAAGCGCGCACACGGTGAAGCGCGCACACGGGGAGCGCGCACACGGGGAAGTGCGTCGTAGGATGCGTGTGTCCTGTCACTGTTTACCGCCAGCCAGCGCTGCTATCAACACACGCTTCCCCATTACGCTTCCCCTGCTTCCCCAGCCACTCCTTAGCCTTGCTTTAGACTTCCCCTAGTTCACCAGTCACTTCTCAGCGTTGCTTAGCCTTCCCCAGTCACTCCTTAGCCATAAAATTACTAGATTGCTTAAATCGCAAGTTAATCAGGAATTTAAAAGCAAAGAAAACAGCCAGAATATTAACTGACGATGGAGCTGGACTCCGAAACGTTTTCATTCTTAAGAAATGGTTAATATTCTGGCTGTTTTCTTTGCTTTTAAATTCCTCCTTAGCCATGCTTTAGACTTCCCCATTCACTCCTTAGCCTTGCTTTTGCCTTCCCCAAGTTCCCCAGTCCCTTCTCAGCGTTGTTTTAGACTTCCCCATTCACTCCTTAGCCATGCTTTAGCCTTCCTAGTCGCTTCTTATCCTTGCTTTAACCTTCCCCAGCCACTCCTTAGCCTAGCTTTAGCCTGCCCCGCCCACTGGGGAAGGCTAAATTTGACAGAAATGCAGAATAGTTCATACTCAATAAATCGAGAATTGAGGGCTTGGATATCAGAAAATGACAT